CAAAAAGAAGACCGGAGCATCCTAACCTAGAAGAAGCAAAAGAAAACATCCTTAAATATAACTTTATGAAGATGCTAGAGATCATTAAAGAGTTTGTCCATTTTTAAGGGAGGAAAAGACAAACAAAACATGGAAGAAATTAATGAATCTCTTAAGGAAAGCCAAGAAACCTAAGAAAAAACAATCAAACAGGTGAAGCAAACAGTTCAAACAGTTCAAGACTTGAAAATTGAAATAGAGACAATAAACACATACTGAGGGGATTCTGAAAATGGAAAATCTGGGTAAACAAACAGGGACTACAGATGCAAGCATAACCAACAGATTATAAGAGATGGAAGGGGGAATCTCAGGAGTTGAAGATACAGTAGAGGAAATAGATTTATTGGTCAAAGAAAATGTTAAAATAAAAAAAAATCCTTAACATAAAACATCCAGGAAAACTGGGATACCTTGAAAAGACCAAACCTAAGAATAATAAGAACAGAAGAAGGAGAAGAACTGGTGTGGGAAGTCCTTCTGTATATGTGTTGTTTTTATTGGTTAATGAATAAAGCTGTTTCAGCCAGTGACTTAGCAGAATAGAGCTAGGTGGGAAAACTAAACTGAATGCTGGGAGAAAGAAGGTGGAGTCAGTGAGAAGCCATGTAACCTTCACCAGAGACAGACAAGCTGGAACTTAGCTGTGGTAAGCCACAGCTAAGTGATGATACACAGATTAATAGAAATGGGTTAGTTTAGGATATAAGAGCTAGCTAGCAATATGCTTAAGATACTGGCCAAACAGTACTGCAAATATAGTTTCTGAGTGGTTATTTCGTGGTCTGGTCAGTCAGGAACAAACAAGCAGCCTCCTACTACAAAGAACTCCAGCTCAAAGACACAGAAAATATATTCAACAAAATTATAGAAGCAAACTTTCCCAACCTAAAGAAGGATATACCTATAAATGCACAAGAAGCTTCCAGATATCAAATAGGCTGGGCAAAAAAGTCCTTTTACCATATAATAATCAAAACACTTAAAGATTTCCTAGAATTCACGAAAATGAAAGCCCAACATACACAAACTTATAGCACACTATGAAAGCAGTACTATGAGGAAAGTTCATAGCACTAAGTGCCCACACAAAGAAAATAGAGAAAGTTCACACTAGTGAATTAACAGTACACCTGAAAGCTCTAGAACAAAAAGAAGGAGATGCACTCAGGAGGAGTAGAAGACAGGAAATAATCAAATTGAAAGCTGAAATCAATAAAATAGAAACAAAGAAAACAACACAAAGAATCAATGAGACTGAAAGCTGGTTTTTTGAGAAAATCAACAAAATAGCTTTTATATAACCCCAGTAGCACAGACACTGAGAGCAACAAAACATAAATGGGACCTCCTGAAACTGAGAAGCTTCAGTAAAGCAAAGGACACAGTCAATAAGACAAAACAGCAGCCTACAGAATGGGAAAAGATCTTTACCAATCCCACATCGATCAGCGTACTGATCTCCAAAATATATAAAGCACTCAAGAAACTAAATATTAAAATACCAAATAGTCCAAGAAGAATCTCAAATGGCCAAAAGACACTTAAAGAACTACTCAATGTCCTTAGCTACCAGGAAGATGCAAATCAAAATGACTCTGAGATACCATCTTACACAAGTCAGAATGACTAAGATCAAAAACACCAATGATAGCTTATGCTGAAAAGGATGTGGACTAAGGGGAACACTCCTACATGTACTAAGAATACTAAGAGTGGGAGTACAAATTTGAACAACCACTTTGAAAATCAGTATGGGCAGTTTCTCAGAAAATTGCGAATCAATCTACCTCGAGACCCAGCAATACCACTCTCTTGGGCATATACCCAAAAAGTGCACACTCATACCACAAGGACATTTTTTTCAACTGTGTTCATAGCAGAATTATTCATAATAGCCAGGACCTGGAAATAACCTGGATGCCCCTCAACCAAAGAAATTACACAATGGAATACTACTCAGCAGTAAAGAACAGTGACATCTTGAAATTTGCATACAAATGGATGGAACTAGAAAAAAAAAACTGAGTGAGGTAACCCAGACTCAGAAGGACAAACACGGTATGTACTCACTCATAAGTGAATATTAGACATAAACTGAAGGATAGCCAGCCTATAGTCCATGATCCCAGAGAAGCTAAATAACAAGGAGAACCCTAAGAGAGGCATACATGGATCCTTGGGGAAGGGGAAATAGACAAGATCTCCTGAAAAAAATTGGGGGTATGGTAGAGGGGGGAGAGAAGGGAGGGTACAAGGGCAGGCGGAGAGGAGGAAGTGGGGAGGAGAACATGAGGGAACAGGATGTGTCAAGATGAAGGAAGGACAGAGAGGAAGAACAATGATAGAGATATCTTGATTGTGGGAGTCTTTATGGGGCTAGTGTGCAACCTGGCACCAGGGAAATCCCCGGGAATCTATAAGGATGACCTCAGCTAAGACCCTAAGCAATAGTGGAGAGGGTACCTAAACTGGTCTTCCCATGCAATCAGATGGATGACTACCTTAACTGTCATCAAAAAACCTTCATCCAGCAACTGATGTACAGCAAAGCACGGTGCCAAGCTCCCAAAGTTCAGTCAAAGAAAGGGAGGAACACTAATATGAGCAAAGGGGTTAAGATCTTGATGGGGATACCCACAGGAACAGCTCACCTGAGCTAATGGGAACTCACTGACTCCATTCTGATGATGGGGGTCCTGTATAGGACCTAACTAGGCACTCTGAATATGGGTGACAGTTGTGTGGCTTGGCTAGTGTGTGGGGCCCCTGGCAGTGGGACCAGGATTTATCCCTAGTGCTTGAACTGACTTTTTGGAGTCCATTCTTTTTGGAGGGATACTTTGCTCAGCCTAAATATAGTGGGGAGGGCCTTGTTCCTGCCTCAAATTAGTAGGTCAGTCATTGTTGACACCCTATGGAAGCCTTATCCTCTCTGAGGAATGGATGAGGTAGGGTAGAGGGGAAGGTAGAGAGAGCAGGAGAAAAGTGGATAGGTATGTAAAATGAGAAAAAATTGTTTTTAAAATATAAACTAAAAAAAATGTCCTTTTGAAAACTGAATAAAGTCCATTTTCTCTAACAATTACCCACGTATGTGCCACTTCCTACATGTCTGGAAGATTATTCAACTCTACAGCAAGACAAGATGATTCTTTTTAATGCGAGGTCAAATGTCTAATTAGTTTCCGATCTCACCATCAGATCCTACCCTTGGTCTTTGAGACTAATGTCACTTCCCATTCGCATGTAGCATCTATTTTTATATTAACTAAATCAAAACAACTAGGCAACTTGAAAACATTTCATTTATTTTGTGAAACCCAATCAACAAGGTATTAGAAATTACAGAATGTTGCATTTCTATACTCTAGATAACAATTCTATATATAGAACAATAGAAATAGATGGGCCCCTTATTATAATATTGAGAGAAGCGTAACTGCTTTGCATCAGCATATCTAAAGTCTGAAAGATATAATCCAGTCTATAAAAGTATGATGTACAGTCTATACTTACAGTATCCACAAGGAGAAAGCCCGTAGGAAACTCTCTCAAGTAAAGCTTATTCTAAATATTTTATTCTATCTTTATTTTCTTATTCGTTTTGTGGATGTTACAAATTTCCTGAAAATGTTTATGGGTATAAGCAATGATTTTCCAAACTTTATGAGTCAAAGGGAGGGAAAAAACTTAGAAAATAAACGAGAACAGAAAACAAGTAATAAATGGAAGAAGTGTTTTTAAAGGGGAGATGGGAATGGAGAGTTGAAATTTTCAAGAGGAAAAGTTAGAAACAGCCACATTGGCAGTGATTGCTACATATTTTTCTTTAGGATTAGCTGTTATGCTTTGGTAATTTCACAGAAACCAGAGCCTCCCAGGGCACTTCTTGTCCCTCAGAAGAAGCTGGGATCCATGGAACAGCAGCAACTAAGGAAAAGCCTTGTAGATGTCAGGATGTCCCTTCTGGGAAAAAGCGCCCTGGGACTCTCCTGTCCTACTCAGACCACTAATGACTTCAGGTTTCCGAAGCCTTAAATACGGACGTGGTTCAGTGCCCTGAAAACTCTCAGATCACGAGACTGAGGGAGACTTGAGCATGAATAAGAGGAAAAGGCAAAATGAAACCAAAGGCAATTAACTACAAACATAAGCCTGTATGTGAACTCAGTCAGGAATTGTTCTTCAAATAAAAGTTTAATGCGGTTAAATATGCCATATGTCACAAATTATGAACCAAATTGCAAAACACTACGAAGAATCTGGCGAAGCTATCATATGATTTAATATTGTAAAGGATGGAATGGTAATACTTCCCAGAATATTTATACATTCATTTTCAAATGCTTTCTAAAGCGCAAAGCTCTCTTAGTACACCCTAATTTCATATATTCTAATAAGAGCTATTCTATATTCCCCCCAATGTTGTTTTTGCTCAAACATATAGGTTTTATTTATTTAAAAATATATAATTTTAAGACTGGAATAAACTTAAAGACTACAGTATAACGTTTTATCTTCAAATGGGGAAAATGCATTAACTGTGGCCAAAGACATAAAAATTATTTCACAGAACAAGAAAAGAAAATGAGGTTGATTATCCTGCATTGCTGTTCATTTCACTGTGAGCAGGACTTTCACCATTACTTAGGCATCTTAATAAGGTTACGAAGAATCACAGACAGTGTGATTGATGGTAGTTCATTACCCATGTCCTTTAACATAACTTTTAGAAGGGCAAAGCTAGAAAAACTTATCAAAGCAGAAGTCCAGACATTTCCTCCAAAGTTAGGATGATACAGAAAAGTTTCTTTTTTTTTTTTTTCGAGACAGGGTTTCTCTGTGGTTTTGGAGCCTGTCCTGGAACTAGCTCTTGTAGACCAGGCTGGTCTCGAACTCACAGAGATCCGCCTGCCTCTCTNCAGGGTTTCTCTGTGGTTTTGGAGCCTGTCCTGGAACTAGCTCTTGTAGACCAGGCTGGTCTCGAACTCACAGAGATCCGCCTGCCTCTCTGCCTCCCGAGTGCTGGGATTAAAGGCGTGCGCCACCACCGCCCTGCGAAAAGTTTCTTACTCCTCCATTTTTCTGATTGTTTTGTCAGAATGTGTGTGTGTGTGTGTGTGTTGACTGTGTCAACTTGTCTGTTAAACAACGGAGTTGTTTTTATTTGAAGCTGTTTGATGACCAGGGTTAGCCTTGGGAAGGAGAAGTGGGATGAAAATGACTCTTCTTTACCTCGTTGCAGCAGGAAGCCTGGAGGGGGAACCATGTGTCAAACCCATGGAAGTCACCCTGCCCTAATAAAACTCCAGCATCCAGCAGACCCACATTTTCTGGATTGGCTAAGCAGACACTGTATCTTGGAAAATAATACAATTGCAATTCCACATAGCTCTACCACAACTCATTTTTGCAAGGACATCTTTTACAAACTACAGAGAGCACTTAGATACTTTTTAGTCCTTTTCTTTGTCTGGGCCAAGGCAAGGTTTTGATCAAGCAATGCAAAGCCATTCTTACCTCCCTTGCTTATTCTCATTCCCAACAGAACGTAATAAACACTGTAGTTTGGCTAACGGCATAAAAGGCAGTTCCATAGGTCGATAATCTTTTGCTTAACCCAGTGGCTTCCTCCAAGGACAAAGAGCAGTAAATCAAAGCAGCTGATTGCTGTTGTGCTTAAGAAAATTTCGTTGTAAAATGCAACGTTGTCTTCACAGTTCTTGGGATGCGTCACTGCATACAAGTAATACATCCTAAAGAACTGGTAGGGAAGAAAACAAATGAAGATTATGCCTATAAAAAACAGATTTTTCAACTGAGCCCAGAACTCCTGGTGGGATAGTAAGGAGTGGCGAAGCTTCCGCACCATGGACAGTGTGATGAAGACTTGGATACCCAAGAGAACCATTGCAATGGTTATGACAATAATGACTATTATATAGTTGAGAACTTGTACATAATCACGGACAAGTTCTTTATGGAATCTAAAGCAGTGTTGCTCGTTGTATTCTTCATTATTTCCATACTGAGAAACCACCAGGGGTACCACAATGACAATCACCAAAAGCCACATAGCAGTACTGGCGGCAACGGCATGCAGTTTTCTATAGAATTCTACTTTGTCTCTGCGCTTGAAGAAGATGAGGTACCTGATGACCAGAATCACCACGTAGAAGAGGAAGGTGAGGTACATGTGGATGTGTAGCATGGCGCTCACAAACTTGCAGAAAGGCAATCCAAATGTCCAAGTCCCCTTGATGAGGTATGCCACACGGAAAGGCACAGTCAGCAGGAATAACCCATGGACCACCACCAGGTTAATGACTGCCATAGTGGTCACTGAACGTGAGTTCATTTTCACCAGCAAGAACAGGATGGAGATGACACCTACCAGGCCGCCAATGAGCACTAGGAAGTAAAGCGGGATCAAATGATGGGCCACTATGGGCTCACAAAAGGAAATCTCGGAGATGTTTTGTTCGTCCATTCTTCCAACATTGCCTGCAAAAGCAAAAACACCAATGTACCTGGACGAACTTCCTGACCGTTGTTCACAGCTCCTCTAGTACACTGAGAAGGTGGCTCTGTAGTTTATCTGTTTCCATGGTATTAGACTTCTATGCTTACAGAATGAAGATAATACTGCCTGCATATTTGTAGTCGCTACACCTAAAACACCAAGCCATTCCATTAGTCTGCTTGATATTTATTGTAGCATGATACCACAAACTGAATTTAGAAGGACATTCACTTTGGTTCACAGTTCTGATAGCTCCAGGTCAAGGGGCCACACTAGCTGACTGTGTTGTAGGGAGGTAAGAGAACCCGGGGACTGTGAATGGAATGTACCTTTTTCTAACCTTTCTCCCTCTTTTCGCAAAGGCATCAGGATTTAATCATGAGTATTCTACCCCCAGAGACACATGGAATCTGAGTGACTGGTGAAGTGGCGCAAAATATTTTGAGCATGGTTCTATTTCTCTAAGTCCTTCTCAGTAACAAGCAAACGACACAAGGATATTCATAATTAACTCCTTGAGAATGCTTGCTAGTTTGACGAAAGCTCAAGGAAGTCTTAGCCGTAAATAACTATACAAACACTTACCTGCTTTTCTCATAGTTTTAACGTTATCCTCTGTGAGACGCTGGGTGAGTTCTTCCACTGAAATGTGACATGCCTCCCAAGGCTTTCATCTTGTACCTTTACAAGACTTGCAAATTTAAAAAGACTCACTCCGACTACTTTTTTGGACTCTTGAACAAAAAAGCTTCTTTGAGTACCTAGTCCTTTCTAATTAATTCTCCAAAGTCTTATTTTTATTATTTATTTTATGTTATTTGTATGGTAGTTTTGCCTGCATCTGTGTATATGCACCACGTGAGTGCTTGGAGGCCAGAAGAGGATGCCAGATCCCCTGGAACTGGAGTCCCGGATGGGTGCTCGGGAAGAGCAGCCAGTGTTCTTAAGTGGGAATCCTTTTCTCCAGCCCTCCACTAATCTAATGATTCTTCATTGGATATCAGTAAGAATTTTTGAATCATTCATTTTTCACTACACAAGTCACGACCAATTTCTTATTTAAATCTTGCAATGGCTTCTCATCTCAAAAGATCAATAATATCCTTAAATCTAGTGTGAAATTCTCTTTTTAAAAATCCAGAACTCCCTAGACTACTGTGCCTGGATTTTGCTGGTTAAAAGAGAAGAACTCAAGCCTAGAACTCTGACTTGAAGAGATGCATAGTAATGATGACATCCTAGACATTTGTTTACTGATATTAGGAAAACTGGAACCGAGCAGGAACATAATGCAATTATTCTCCGGGTTGCTGACATTTGTAACACATTTGCAATTGCTCCTAATGCTTTTCTGAACACCTCTTCAAACAATGTATTCTTACCCAAATTATAAACCCATTATTAAACCAAATTATATACACAACGTTGATGAATCTCAAAAGGTTTGTATAAATCACGTATATTCTCAGTGAGGTGGTGGTGCTTCTAGAGGCACAAAATATTTAATGAAGTATAAAAAATATTATTCTATGTGTCAAGCAGAGAAATGTGCACAGTGACTAAACAGACACACCGATATAATAAATTTTCAGAGGAACATGGAAGACAAATTAGAAAAAAACGATCTCTAAAAATGTTTTCTAGAGAAATAATAATTTATGAAAAGCTGAGAAAATGTAGTGATACACCATGCCATAAAGGTTGTACGTTGTATGATTTCTTTTTCTAGAAAATTCAAAACAAATGTGAGAGTAAGCAGCTACACGTAGCCCAACTTGTTGGGCTTTTAAGAGAACACTGGGGTGATGGATGAGTGATATCATCATTGAACTATGACTCATAAAATGACCAATGCCCAAGTATTTTCTTTACCTCAATTAAAACGTAATGATACCCTAACTCCATATCACAGAACACACTTTTTGTGAACACAGAGCACACTTTCAGAGAGCTGTGGCCCCTTAACCATATTTCCCTGTAAGCTGTGAGTTTTCTGTGTTATAGTGCGTAATCTCACCACTTGCCTTCACTTTTCCTCTGTACAACGGCAGTGCTAGCGAGTAGAAATGATCTCGTTTCCATCCGAGTCAAGCATGGACATGCCTCCAACACATCTGCTCACCATTTCCTCCAGCTGTTAGTTTAGTGAGACTAATCCTGAAAGAAAAGAGGAAAGCCAGTGGTGTGTCACTTGGTCGATCTCTTTATAAACTCCCATGATCATTGCCTTTCAAACGTCAGAGCAAGTGTCAAATGATTCCTGTGTGCCAGGACAATATTATATTGAGTTATTTACTCTCGCTGTAGTCTCGCAGCTGTGCAGTATATTGTGACATAGAATTTAAGGTTGCTCCAAGAGCAGGAGGTGGGCGTGACCAAGAATCTATAGAGTGGTTCACTCTGCACATGCTCACTCTTCCTTGTTCCTTCACTGTTACAGACTTTCTGAAGCCATAGCTCCTGAATGTGACCACTGCTAGAAACAAGAGCTGGCCAATGATGAACGTCAGTATACAAAAGCATTAGTTCATCTGGTAATATAGCATTGGCTTGATCCATTTGCTCTAAGAACGTTGTGGCAGACTTCTGGTACTATAAGTCCTGGATCTCAGCTTTCAAGATGACATATTAAGCATCCGTCATAAGTATTTTTGAATGTAAAGGGAGTAAAACAGTTCAAAGTCAAATTGCTCAGATCGGACAGCCCTGTGGCCATGACTGTGAGAGACTGTCGTGTTCAATGTAAGAGGGTCCAGACTACTGCTGGCAGCGCCATCCCTAAAGAGGCGTTCTGGGTCCTATAAGGAATCTAGCTGGGCATGAGACAGCAAGCAGTATTACTCAGTGGTATCTGCTTCAAGTTCCTGCCCTGCTCGAGTCTCTACCCTGACATTCCTCAGTGGTGGACTGTAACTTGTAAGATTAAATAAGCCCCTGCCGCGCACCGCACCCCCGTGTCTGCGCTCTGTGCGTTGGCACCCAGTTCGCGAGCTTAGGGCAAGGGGGCTGGAGCTTAAAATACACAAACACACACAGACAAAGAGACAGCGACACGGGTCATCCTTGAATTCCCCAAGAATGCCCCCTTTATTGTGTTCAGGGGCAGATTATATAGAGATAGCCACGCCCCAGCCAAACCCACCAGAAACCACTCTCCTGCCAACGGGAACTCCTGAAGGTCTCATGCTCAAAGCAGCTGTAGGCACTCAGATCAGGGAATTACAAGAAACTCAGGATCTGGGGTCTCACTGCTCCCAACAAGCCCTTTCTTCTCACAAGTTGCTTTTGGTTTGTGTTTTATCATAGCAATAGAAAAGCAATCTAGGGCAGAGTCTATGCTATTTTATGATTCGTTATTCTCAGCCTCAACTGGCTGGCTAGCCAGATGCTGGGATTATGGCATGCAGACCATACCTGGCTGTCTCCAATGTTTCAAATAATAATTTTCTTTTAAATTTACCCTTTCTGTTATTTTTGGGGCCTGCTTTGTTTACAGAAGTTCACCACCTGTGGGTTTCAACCCCTTGGGGGCACATATAAAATATCCTGAATATCAGATATTTACATTGTGATTCATAAGAGTAGAAAAATTACAGTTATGAAGCAGCAATGAAATAATTTTATTGTTGGTGATCACCGCAACATGAGGATCTGTATTGAAGTGTCTCAGCATTAGAGAGGTTGAGACCCACTGGTTCAGAGCCTATAGTTTGTACCTTTTCTATTCTCTTTAGTTATAGGCTTAAGGGCTCTTAGATTTAAAATACATCTTTTTAAACAAGACTGTGTCTGCCTCTTCTCTTATAATACTACAAATTCAGAGCATTTTTTATTCTTTTTTACATCTTCCTTATATATTGGTATTTTCATGAATTTTTAAGCCTATGTATGTTTTATTCTAGAATAAATAACTTAAACATATGTCTTGTGAAAGTTTTAGAGAAACCATGCAAAAAATGGTCCCTGTCAACAAAGTCACAATAGCACAGTATGTGGTTTAATGTTCCCATTTGGGCTCAGAGAATCAAACTTTTCCATCTACTACAATTAAACAAAGTTAGACTAGCTAGACAGTACATTCAAAGAAGTGGTTGGCAGATGTTAGCCACCGCAAGTAGACAATGTGAGACATGAACGGATAAGATTAAAATAAGCTATCATGAGTCTTAAATAAAATATATAAAATTGGGACAGGCAGCTAATACTAATACTTTTTTGATCTAAGACTGTCTGTGCTCTTTTATATTACGTCTGCTGTCTCTTTACAATCTTTACTTCTTTTTATAACTATCCATACTCTTTTCCTCTCTCTCCCAAGACTACATACATTTTTAAAAACACTGTGTCTCATTTAGAAGTCTTTTATGTGTGAATCTATCTTATTGTGTATCTGTGATCTTTTTCTGACAAGGAACATTTTAAAATGGTAAGCCGTGTGCTCACAGCAGCCCTGAATGCTGACTCTACCTCTCTTGGCCTTTCAATAAGTCGGAGGCATGTTCACCGCCTGTACGAGCCATGCTCACTGCCCCAGCTTCAGGACCGCAGTGGGTCTATGCTGCCATTAACAAGCTGAAGCACTCCTCTCACAAACCCCATCTAACTGCTCCAGAGCAGAACCTCCCAAAAGGGCCAGAACCATTTTGTTCTGCCAGCACAAACCAAAAAGCCAGCTCTTAAAGAAGCCACACTCTTGTACATAGCCAGCAAATCGAGCCCATCTGAAAAAATACGTCTTTCAAGAAGCTGTTCTAGAAGCTCTCAAGAAGCTGTGGGTCTAGAAGACTTCTTTCTTTTCTTTTCTTTTCTTTCTTTCTTTTTTTTTTTTTTGAACGTTTTTATGTGAATCCATGCCCCAGACAGTGGGGACCATTTTGTAGTTGGAGGCTGCTCACTTGTTTCCCCACTGATAAGAACCAAATAATCACACAGAAACTACATTAATTGCAACACTGTTTGGCCAATGATTCTAGCATATTCCTAGCTAGCTCTTATATCTTAAAGTGACCCAATTCTATCTATCTGTATATTGCCACAAGGCTATGGCCTACTGGTAAAGTTCTTAAGATTCCAAAATTTCCTTCTTCTTCTTCAGCTACAGGGCATCTCTATGATTGACTCTGTCTACTCTCTCTATATATCTCTGCTTGGATTTCCCACCTGGCTTTGCTCTACTAAGCCATTGGCCAAAACAGCTTTAGTCATCAAAAAATAAAAGCAACACATATACAGGACATACCACATTAGTTGGGTAGATATGGGGGTAGAAAGAGTTTGGGGAATGAAAAGAACATGACCAAAATATACTGTATGAAAAACAATTTTTGAAGCTGATAACTACAAAAAATTAAAACCAAGATAGCACTTTATACACTTAAAATTTATATCTTAAAATGTTATAATAAACTAGTAATAATAATTCTAAGTATCAAAACAAAAAAATGAGCAGATGAGAGGAGGGATGTGGGTCTGGACCAGTGTCAGCAAGATGGCTGGCTCCCCAGGGCTCTCTTTCCTCAGAGAGCATGTGTAAGGCACCCTTGCCCTTCTACATACCCTTGCTTCTCTTGCAGCTAAGTGAAGCAAATTCAATTGTAAGGATGAATTCTAAAAGGCTTCCATCTGTTTTGGGAAAATTGATTCCCAAACAGACAGCTATAAATGGTAGGTAACAAAGAACAACTCCAGTTCCATCTTGGTAGCTGTGATAGGAGTCAATCCCACAGTGAAGCTACAGTTAATCACAGAAATGTGGCAAACACAGCGTAGGATAGTTTACAGTCAGCAAAACAGCTGGAAGGTTGACCATAAGTGGATAAAATCTCGTAGACAGTCCAGGTTGCCAGTTCACAAAGAGAGGCTTAGAAATTGATGAAGGGGAGTTTTACTCATTCCTAGCTGGGTGAAAAACATCAATAGAGCATCATCACCAGTCACGTGTGCCAAAGCTGCATGCATATAGTGTATGTGTCTTTCTCTGGCTCAGCCCATGATAGCTCAGAATGCCAAACAGTTTCAACAGAAGGTACGTCTGTCTTTGTCCAGTTTCTACCAGAAAGCTTCTAGAGACCCAGAAATGAACCAGCTCAGCAGCTCTTCCTCTCTTGGGAATCCTTCCTTCCTTGGGAGTATCCCTTTGTTTTCCTTACTTTCTCACTTTTCGTCAACTTCCCTTAATAAAGCTCACTTCCCCATTGCCTACTCCCACGGGTGTCTGAAGCGTTTTTCAGTTTTGTTGGTATGAAACAAGAAGTCACCACTTCAGGTTGAAGTCGGGTCACCGTTGAGTGTCCAGTATCATAAGCACCCCGGCTGAGAACTGTCCTTGCTTCTCAAAAACTGCAACACTCTAATGCCAGGAACCTGGATTCCTTATGGCCCTCTGGGCAGAGCAGCTCTCATGTCCGTTTGACCTCATCCATTGGCTCTGGCTGCAAGCATCTCATGTGTGTAAGAATCAAATTCTACACACATATTCATTCAATATTACTGTAAACCTTTCCTCTGTATTTGTATTTATCTACTCAGTTTCTTTATCCATTGCTTGTGATCTCTTCATGCTTCTCTTGGTTTCCATCTAAGGTAAGTTTCCTTCCACTTGAAAACTCCACTTAGCATTTCTTTTAGTGAAAGACTGAGAGTTCTTAGTTTTTGTGTGTGGGTGCCTCTGAAAAGTCTCCATTTCATCTTCATTTGAAGGGACATTTTCATGGCAGGGTAGCATATTTTAATGCTTTCTTCCAGTGTCTTGTGTCCTGTATTCGAGCTTTCATCTTTGGCACTTTGACCATCTATGCAGCTCTCGCATCTGCTAATATCGTACATCTTTTTTCTTAAGCTTTATGCAAAGTGGATGATTTTCCTTGTGCTAAGCATAGTCTCGTGTCTGTGGTTTTTCTTTGATTTTCCTACTTGAGATTTCTCTTTTCATTGTAAATGAGTTGCCTGACATTCTTGTTTACCTTAGGGAAATTGTTAACGCTGACCCTAGAGACCCCATTTTGTTCCAATTCATTCTTTCCCCTCAGAGTTTACTCATGCTAGACATTTTCATTGTTTCTCTTCTCTCTGCTTTCTCCATCTCTTCTCCCAGCTGCATATCTTCAGTTGTTTTTGTCCACTTCTCTTATAATTCACTGTGTCATCAATTAAAATGA